ACAAAATCAAAGTATTCTTTAATACTAAACCTTTTTTCCAAACTTTCACAAAGATTCTTAATTATAAAAATAATAACTCACAAAGTGAAAATATAAAACTTAAATGTAGATACAAAATTTATGAAAACAAAGTATTTAAAAACACTGCAACACAAGTATTTTCTAAGTCTAATAACAAACTTTTGTACATAGATCCAAAGATATTTAAACATACCACTTCATCGTGACTTAATGAAGTCTTCCTTTTATACTTATAATTAATAACTTTCTAAAGGATTTTCTATTTTGCTCTAAGTTTCTCTAACACTCCCTCATTTAAATTCTTTCATACTTCAATCTTGTTCTTTCCTAAGCAATCTCAAGCAAAAACAATATAACCGTAAAGTTTAGAATATTTAACACTTAACTTTGATTATGATGTTTGTTGTCATTAAAACCACATTTGACTAAATATTCTTGTATTTGACTAAATATTCTTGTATCATGATGCAAGATAAAAGTTGTCTTTTTAATAGCTAATTTATAATTTTGTATACTCTTTTAAATTTTGATAATTATATAGTTTTTCAGGCATCATTTCCATTTTCTAATTAATCAAACATCGAAATCACTAGTACAATAAAATCTTTTACATTAATTTAGAAAAAGACATTTTACATTGATTTTGTAATCTATATAGATGTTACTGATGTAAAATAGAAGTAACTTCTACATCATATAGCTTTAAATTGATGTAGAAGAGTAAAAATCTAATCAAAGAAGCTCTAACAACATCCTCAACTTGACCAACTCACAAAAACAATAATCCAAGTTCTATTTCCATCCCCTACCACCACCATTACTACTTGTGTCCACCCATAGTGCATGCACGTCTCCAACCCCCAACTCAAAAAACTAACATTTCTCTTGTTGTGATATAATCAAAGTCCCATATTGTTAAAGCACAAGGATAAATAGGAGTTTATATAGACACATAGTTTTCATATAAAGCCTTTTGGGAGATAATCAAAAAGCAAAATCATGAGGATTTATGTCCAAAGTGAAAAACATCTTACTAATGTAAAGGCACATTTGTGTATCCGAATCTCCCGATGTCCAACAAATTGGTATTAGAGCTGATGGTTTTAATGACAAGATGAGTATGATTGAATTGACAAGTATATCCAAAATAAGTTCCCTTGAATTGAAAGTAATTCTTCTTGTTAGTGTCGGTGGATCCATGTGTGGAGATTTTTTTTACCATTAACATGAAGAATTAAGAAGTGTATAGTGATGCAAGTACTTAGAGCATGGTAAGAGGGGAGGTTAAATCACGATTTTTTTGTTTGAAGGGAGAATTATTAAGATACAATCAAAGTTTCATATTGTTAGAAAAAGAGGATGAAAATGAGTTTATATACACATATAATCTCCATTAGAATGATGCTTTCTGGAAGATTACCAAAAAAAATTATAAGGGACAATAGCATACCAATGTGAAGGCATGTGTGTGTCTATATCCCTTAGTGCCTAACAAACTAGTATCAGAGCCAATGGTTTTGACCAAGTGATGAAGACGAGTATGACAACATTGGCAAGTGAGTCTAGAATAAGATCCATTGTGTCAAAAGTAATCCTTCCTATCAATGTTGATAGATCCATGTATGGAGAGTCTTCCTACCATCAACATGGAGAATTAGGAAGTTGTCGGTGCAAGTCCCTAGAGCATGGTATGAAGGGGAGGTTACACTATATAGTCCTTTGTTTGAGAGGACAATTATTGGGGTACTATAGTCAAAGTCCCACATCGTTAGAACAATAGGATGAAAATGAGTTTATATACATATAGAGTTTTCATTAGTATGAAGCCTTTTGGGAGATGACCAAAAACAAAATTATGAAGGCTAGCACTTGGGTTCAAAATGGACAATATCATATTAATTAATGTTGATGCATGTATGTGTATCTGAATCTCTTGATGCGTAACACCTCCCTCCCCTACTTGCACACAAATAATAACCTACATACAACCCAAGTTTTTCCCTTCCACCACCCCCTCCCCCCTAAAGTAACCTCCCACCTCAATAACAACCCAAGTTTCCCCCTTCTCATTATGCTACCGATTCCCTACCCCCCTTCCAAAAAAAATTGAAAAACCTACAACATCTCCAACTAGACTTGAGTCCAACAACTAGTAAGCAACCAAAATTATATATGGTGGGAGTAGGCATGGCAACAGGGTGGGGTGGGGTGGGGCAGGGGCGGGTTTTATGTTCCCTGGTCCCGCCCCCACAAATTTAAACTGCCCTCACCCTTGATACCTGTTGGGGATAAAATTTGGGTATCCATCCTCCACCCTCGATACCTGTTGGGGATAAAATCTGGGTACCCATCCCTACCCCCGACGGGGTGCGGGTTTCCCCGCCCCACTTCCGCTCCTAGACCTTTTTTTTTGTTTCTAATAAATATGAAAAAATTAAAAATAAAAGAAAAATAAGATAATACAAATTTTTACATATAAAGGTTTCTAATTTTGGTGTGTGTGTGCGTATATATATATATATATAAGGATAGTTTTTTAATTATATTATTAAGCGGGACGTGGGCGGGTACGAGGGCGGGGGTGGGGCAGGTATTAACATCCCCGTCCCCACCCCCATCCCCGATTTTACCAATTGAGGAAAACTCGAACCCGGTCAACATGAGTTTTTCTTGTCCAAATCAAGGCGGGTTCGGAGATACTCACGGGACCAAGTTAGAATGTCATGCCTAGGTGGGAGCATGTGAGAAATTTGGAGATAAGGAAGAGAGTAATATCCAAATAGAAAATTAAACATTTGTTAAAATAACAGGTGATGTAAAAAAGAACAATTTACATTGATTTTTTTTACATTGGTTTAAATATTTATTTTTTAATTGCTCAAGCCGATGTCTCAACTTGAAACAATCTAATTGTAGTTGGGTTGGTTTAGGTTGGATTGCTTAAAAAATGTTCACAAATCCAAATGACACCAACTCGACTAAGTTTAATTGGGTTGAGTACTAAAGTAGTATAAATCTAATTCAACTTGGCCAGTTTTTATGAAACTAGTTGAGAAGATGATTGATGTTTTTCCTCCTCGAGTTCATTGCTCCTACAATCTTCATTCATGGCTCCAAATAGAAAAGAACACAACAAAAATGGATAGAGAAGAGAATGTATGATGTGTCACTTCCAAATGAAAGTTAAGCAAGAGAGATTAATCTTGTCACAAGAAGAAATTTCTTGATAAAAAAGTCTTAAGATAATAAATTCTTCAAGGAGAGAACTAGAGACTTTGAAGAGAGAAATAAGAAATTTCAATTCTCATAAATGCTCAAAGTGATTTAACCAAATGGGGGTTACATGCATATATAGATTTTGGTAACTTGTGGTAAGCTAATCATGATTAAGTGTAACTAAGATTAAATTAACTTGTACTCAAGATAACAAACTCTAATTCAAATTTGAACTTTCCCTCCCTTTTTGGATGTCAAAGTCTAGATCTGAAGTAGCTAATGAGAGCTTGTCATATGACAAAGTACAAAAGGTGTGATGGGAGTGAGTTAGTATAAAAAGGGATGTAGAAGCAAGCATGCCAAAAGTATGACTAGTATGTGAAATATGTGAATTGATGGGTTTTGTTTGAACTAATAGGAGAATAGTGTGTATGAAGTGGACGTCCACTTCCTTAGAGATTAATCTCTACTCTCTTATGGTCCAAACAAGCTCAATAAACACATATCTCAAATATTAGTTGCATTCCTTCTAAAATACTAAATACACTCTTAAAAAGAAAATTACATGAAAATAAGTTCATACACTTTGACCAAAAACACATGGTTAAAATTAAGAAAACATTTATCACGAAAAATATATACAAAGAAAAGAAAGTAAATTACTGAAAATGACCAAAAGCTCAACATGAGCTTAGTCTTCTTTCTTCAAGCCTAACTCACTTTTCTTAATTCCTTTTGGATTGACCCCCTAGGCATGATGTCATCACATTTGCTCCTCTACTCAACATGTAACTAATAATAATTTTTACACACACTCTAACAACTACATACATTGATAGTGACATGTTGAATTATGTTGGAGATCTCACATCAATTTGTGAGATGACCATAATTAATAAAGTATAGAAGTGGTGGAAGTAATCTCCCCCTTACAAGTTAATTTTGTAGGGATAAGTTAAGCCCAAATTCACATTCTAATATGATATCAAAGTTAAACTAGATTCATTGAAAAGAACTATCCACCATTTATACATGCACCAAATAGTTTTAGGCAGTGAGGGATATATTGGAAAATCTAAAGTCTCACTTATATATTAGAAAAAAAACTCGAGTCCTACATCAACTAAAAATAAAACCAACAAAAAGTATATAAGTTAAGGACAAGTGATAGTTCTCATCTTATAAACTGGTTTTATATAGTTGAGTCATATCTAAATTCACATTCTAAGAATTAAGGAGCTACCAAAAATATAGCAAATCTTACTTGTACTTTTTCTATCTATTTTACATCTAACAAAGTCAAAATCAAAGTACCCTACCAAATTCAAAGGGGGCATAGTACTACACATTTCAAATTAAGATGTGACCTTTCTAGAAAGGGGCTGCGAAGGTAAAAAGATGAAGAGGAAATAGAGGAATTGGATGTATATAGATGTAAAGGTATTTCTTGAAATTCTTCTAAATGAAGGGGTGTATATATTAAAAGGATGGGTGCAGGAAGAAAATCCCTAATAGTCTTTATGATTAAGCCCATTACGGGAATGAGCCCATAATCACGACCCAATGCAATATCCAGTTATTAGCTTGATAACCATATAGCCAACAATGTCGGTCATTTCATTTGACCTTATCAAAATTAACAATGTGCATAGTCCAAATACATATTTAACAACTCTGCCTTTGAAGTGCCATCACAAATTTGCAAGTCACCATTGTAGTCTCTGGCCAATTGAAGAGATAACATTTCAAGATCACAACTTGGGTAAAAGAACATTAGAAACGACAAACATAAATGCAATTTTATTTATTCCACTCAGTATTTGTATAATTCATATTGAAGAAATATGTTGTTCCCCCCTTATGCCATCATGTGATCAGATGGCCATTTAATGTCAAATTAATTAACATAAGCCATATTGATAAACCTATTCATGTTTCTTTCCTTTGAGCTTTCCCTTGGAAATTTTGCTGAGCACACTAGCATCCAGATTTCTATAGTGATTTTGCATCTGATCTAGGACCTTGTAGACAAAGTTGTCAACTTCATCCTCATACTTTTCATAGAGAACTGGAAGTGTATGTGCAGCAACAAAACCTTAAAAGCAAAAGAAATTAGTCTCGGCAATCAAGTACAACATGAACAATCAACTGGAAGTGGAGAAACATCATTGGAACTTCTAAGAGGTGTCATGTGAAATGTTAACAAGATCCAAAAAAACAATATGAATATAATTTTTATACTCTATCAGTATAAAAAATTTACACGACCAACAAATTAGAAATCATGGTATGTATGACTAGTTTTTGTAAAAATAAACAAATTTATCATATTTGTCAATTTATGGTTAGATGACTGTGTAAAAGTTCTATACACCATTAGTACATAACTATTTTCTCAAACAATAGAGTTTAATTTCTGTTTCAATTTCGCCTATATTTGTATATAAATAAGATTCAGTTCTTGTCTTGAAATGGCATATTATAGCACTTAACTAAGAGGAAAGGAGTCAGGTTACACAACAGCAAATAGAGAGAAGAGAAGAGAGAAAAACAGTGTGCAGTTGGCATATCCACCAGAAATCCATTTTTGAATTGCAACTAGCGATTCTTTCACTGTTGGACCGGACTTTTTTTACAGCAGTTTCGTCAAAGTGGTTTTCCATTTGCAAGTTTCAACGGTTAGATCATTGATTGATGGTATAGAGCGGGAGAAAATATGCTCATATAAACAACTTTATTTTGGGGTTTTCGTCTTATTTCTCATTTGTATTGGTGCTTTGGTTATTTTGACTAATTGCAAGCACTGTTTGTGTACTTGTTGGAGACTCTTCATATCCTTTATTGATCATAGTAGAGTTGTTTCTGTGATCTAAACAATATGTGGATTTTACCTTTGCATTGAGAAACTTCCCACGTTAAAAATCTATGCCTCTTGTACATTTGTGACTTATGTTTTTGCTCTATTTTGTTAGTACTCTTCGCCTATTCTTAAAGTATAGATATTTTATTTCCACTGCTTATTACTCTATCAATGAGTTACTATTATTGTGTTGTGCTTTCCGTCATCAGTTCACAATGTTAATATCACTTGAATAATTTCTTATTATTGAATCTAAATAGGTACAATAAAATAAATAGGCATAAAACATAATCAATCCCTAAAGTTTAGGGATTTAGATAAAACTGACTAAGGAAACTAAACTAGAAATTAGGAGAAGATAAATCAGTATATCTAAACTATATCTTATAGAATTATCTTAACACTCCCCCTCAAGCTGGAGCATATATATCATATGCATCTAGCTTGTTACATATATATGTTATCCTAGGACCTCGTAAAGATTTAGTAAAGATATCTATAAGTTGATCCTTGGAGCAAACTGAGGAGGTCTTGATGATACCGGAGAGGATCTTTTCTCTGATGAAATGGCAATCAACCTCTATATGCTTTGTTCTCTCATGAAAAACTGGATTAGAGGAGAGGTATAAAGCTGACTGGTTATCACAAACTAGTTCCATATGACCAACCTTGCAAAACTGCAACTCTTGAATTAAGAATTTTAGCCACAAGAGCTCACATGTGGTGTGAGCCATAGCACGATATTCTGCTTCTGTACTTGATCGTGCAACAACACTTTGCTTTTTACTCTTCCATGAGACAAGATTACCACCCATGAAGACACAATAGCCTGATGTTGACCGCCTATCACTTGCATCACCTGCCCAATCTGCATCTGAATATCCAACAATGTTTGTATGTCCTCTATCATTGTAAACAAGTCCTTTTCCTGGTGATCTTTTGATGTATCTAAGGATTCGAACAACTGCAAGCCAATGACTCTCACAGGGAGAGTTAAGAAACTGACTTACAACACTGACAGGAAAGGATATATCAGGTCTGGTCATGGTGAGATAATTCAATTTTCCCACTAATCTCCGATATCTCCCTGGGTCAGGATAAGGCTCCCCCTAATTAGGCATAAGCTTCACATTAGGATCCATGGGAGTGTCAACTGGCTTACAATCCGTAAGTCCGGTCTCTTCTAGAATATCAAGGACATATTTTCTCTGAGAAATAGCAATACCGGTCTTTGACTGAGCGGCCTCAATCCCGAGGAAATAACGTAGGGGACCTAAATCCTTAGTTTGAAAGTGTTTAAATAAGTGTTGCTTCAGAGCCTTGATGCCCTCCTGATCATCACCTGTAATCACAATGTCATCTACATAAACAAAAAGATAGATAAATCTATGTGTCGATGAGCGTCTAAAGAAGACAGAGTGGTCTGTCTCGCAGCGGATCATTCCAAATTCCTGTATAACTTTGCTAAACCGACCAAACCAAGCACGAGGTGATTGTTTGAGGCCATACAAGGACTTTTGTAATTTACATACAAGACCAGACCCCCCTTGAGCAACAAACCCAGGAGGTTGATCCATATAAATCTCCTCCTCCAAATCACCATGTAAGAAGGCATTTTTGATGTCTAATTGAAACAAAGGCCAATGCCTCATAGCAGCCATAGCTAAGAAGAGACGAACTGAGGCCATCTTCGCAACTGGAGAGAAGGTGTCGCTGTAATCCAAACCATATACTTGCGTGTATCCCTTAGCCACAAGACGAGCTTTCAATCTATCCACCTGTCCATCA